CTGTCATGTGGCCCTCAATGGCTTGCCGAAACTCAGTAAGCGCCCCTCTGCCCAAAATACTTGCCTGCCCTTGTGTTAAGGCCTCACCACTTCCCCTCCTGCCATGAAGCTCCAGGTAGGTCTTTCCAGCTTACTGGTGTGAAGAATCAGTTCCCAGACCTTGTCTGACTTCTAACCTCTCACTTGGATCATCTTCTGAATTCAGTCTGCCTTAATAGTCCTCAGCAGATTTGATTACTCATGAGCTTCTGTCACATTGTGCTTCAACTGAGAGGTAATCTCATCAGAGTTGAGGCTGAACCTAGCAGGACTCCCATACATATATATGCTCCTGACTTCTCAGGCCGTTTTGCTTATATCAGTAGATTTTCTGGTGGAATAGTGTATTAATGTGCATAAAAGTACTAGGTTCTCATCCTGTGTCTTTGTATCACTCTTACTACCACAGTATCTAAGAACCTGAGCCATAGGAATCCCCTTACATTTTTTAGAAACCACATCTGTGCTCACATTAATCATTACAAAGTCATATGCCCTCATACATTTCAAATGATTATACAGCCTGACTTTATGTTATACTTAAAACTAAATCCTGCCCTAATTAAAACATTGTTTCCATAGTAGCTAATGGACTTCAAAGTGGGGGATATGAGGGAAGGCAAAAGTAAATAAATAAATGAATAAACAAAATTAAATTACATAAATACAATCTTGCTGATAAGAGAGGACTATGAAGTATTTTATTAGCATTTATTGGGGATTACCTCTATAACTCACTTATGGCACAAGCACTTAGGAGTTACTTGGTCATCTCAAACCCACTGAAATAAAAACTTTATAGCACCTTACAGCTGCATTCATTCATTCACTCGCTTGCTCTCTCTGTGTTGCACTGGTATATAAAACCCATTTCCTATTTTAATAGAGAGAATTAAAATCCTTTGTTTAGACTTTCAGCTAGTGGATTAGCCACTAGTATTTCTACTGATGAATTCAGATGGCTGCAGAAGAATATACTGGCCTTTTTTTTAAAAGCATCTCACTCTTTGCGGAGGTTTAATTTGAAACCAAATCTCCTTGGGAGGAAGCATGGTTTAATGTGAGAGCAAGAGAATGGGAAACAGATTGCATAGGTTCTATGCCCACTTTTAAGTGCAGACATGTTTGTGCCCACACCTGAACCATAAACGCAAATCTGAGAAATTGCACCTCCAGCTATCTAACCACAAGGGAAAACTTGGTGATGAAAATTACCTCATTTTTGCTCACAGAATTAACTTGCCATAGCAAAACAGGGGTTCAAATTGTCACCCTTCCTCAAAAACGAGAAACATGGCCCCCGCTGTTATGGAAATGTGCCCCTTTTGCTTTCTGTGGCCAGAAGTGGTAAAATACAGATAATATATGCTGTAATACACCTTGATTTGAGCACAACATGCTGTGCCAGTCCAACTCCCTTTTATAGGGGTTAGTAGTGCTTACCGCAAATTGCAGAAAATATCCGGATGCTATTTCCCTATTTTATCCATTTACTATTAAATAAACAGTCTAGGAATGCTATTTAAGGCAAGGGCAGGAAGAGGGGTAGAGTCCCTTGCTGCCCAACTTTCCAGGGTAATGCCCAACCTATTGAGCCACATTTCCTATGCCTTGCTCTCTCCTTCTGGTCCTTCATATGAGTCTCCTTCAACAGGAAGGGTGTAGGGTGCTCTTACCAACACTTAGCCCATGTACTAGCAATTAGGAGACTCTGCTGGGAATGGGAGATCTAGGTTAGAAATCTTCTGAGTCTAGAACCTAAATAAGTGGGGTCTAGAGCCTGGGCAAATATGGTAACCACTAAGCCAATGGGTTAAAATGTAGGAGGGCTCTTCTCTGTTTTTCTTTTATGAACACAGAGTTACTTTGTGTTCTTGTGGGGGCAGAGAGCACAAAATCTACAGAACAGGCCCACAAGGCCACTTAAATAGCTAAATGTACGTGTGTAAGTGCTATTTATGCAGATAAAGGTTGAGTTGGATTTGGGCCATTTGTGTGTAAGTGTGAAGTGTCTATTATATTGCACCCTCTGTGTTTCTCTTGCATGGATACTTTTCATTACTGCAGACTTGTGTATGTAAACAGTAATTCTGTTTCATCTATTCCTGCTTTCTCTTCTTTTTAAGGCTGCTTTCAGGGTAAGAAACTGCTAGCTTTTCAGACCAGTGATCACAAAGAAGCAGACACAAGGATGTCTATTAATAACAGAGACCCAAATTAGAGTTTCACACCTGAACTTCCTCTTCCCCTTCCCTGAAATTCCCATAACCAACACACTCCAAGGTTTTGCAGCCTTGTTTTCTGACTCTTTGATAAATGCACCATGTGATGGTCAAAA